CCAATCAATAGCAATAGTAAGAGTACTATGAAGACATCTCACTCTCCCCTCCACTGTTTGAAACTATGTAATCAATTCGCGCTTGCTTTTAAGCGGTTGTTTGCATAATGCAGTATAGAACAAACACATGCAGCGTGAGACTCGTAGGTTTTCTACTGCTCGTGATGTTCCTGCGGTAGATGTAGTCCCTCGTGGAGAAGTAGCTTGCGAAAGTGCCGTATACAAACCTCTCGCATGAACTCGCGCCCCATCTGCCAGATTGTATGTTCTTGGCGTATACACAGATAGTACTATAGTAGGAGGGCCGAATTTACTATCCCCTTTACGGGAACTGGGTAGTTTCACGCCAATCGGGGTCCCTGAAGGGCACGCTTTTCTAGTCGTCGGTACCTAGCTTTGTACGCAGCTCGTCTTTCATATTGAGTAGGGTCCGTAGTTTCTTCGCATTCACAGGTTGCATTTATCCGGGTTTGAATTACTCTCCTCAACATCAGTTCTGACGTAGTTTCGGTCTTTGCTGTAGGTGGCGTGGTTCTGTATGTAGTCAAACCTGATACCAAGGCATCCTCCCAAGATTCTGTCGAGAGCTTAGGAACTTATATAGACGCCATCAATGTTCGACTTACTCATTCAGCCATTCCATAAGCCACCGTTCTGGCGTTTTTGATGCTATTACTTCGAAGGAATTCAGCACACTCGTTACTTCTAAACTGGAACCCATTAGCTGTAAGAATTTCTTCTGATAGCCCATACCTAGCGAACGATTGCTGAAGCCACTTTATAATAACACCTGTAGCTACTTCTCCGAATAGGATAGCTACTGTCCATTTGCTGTAAAATCGAATGACAACCATCATGTTTCATTTCTGAGGACGCACGTTGGCAAATGGACTCATGCTATCGATGGCAATTTTAGTCCAAGTTCATAGGAGCCGCAGTGGGCTGAAATGGAGATTACAAAGGCCTCGCGCTTGCCGGATTTCGGGCAAGCATTTCACTCTCGAAGCGCATCCTCGGCAATGGAATTTAACTCCGGTCCCTATAGTCGTCGCGTATTCTGGCCTTCTTCCCCACAATACCAGGATGACCCTCATGCCTGCATTCGATCACCGCTGGAATAAGGCTATGAAGAAACACGAGCTGTTCTTCTCTGATAACGCAGTTGTCTGCTATAATAAGCGCTTTGTGAAGAGTATCGTATGACAGTAACCATGGTTGGATTCGAGTTTGACTAGACCACGCATTATGTAGATACTCTAAGTTTCACTAAGTTGGGATCTCTGTCAGTATATTCACGTATCCGGTCGACCGCCATTGTAGTGGGTGCTCCGGTTGACAGCTAGAAAATTGTTTTCACCACATGCAAGCCGTTGTCTTCCGATTTGTTTAATAGTGGAAGCCTGGAAAGTGAATCAGCCACCTGGTTAGCACCACCCGGTAAGTATCTGATTTCGTAGTCCTACTTTAGTAGGCGCGAGTACCAGCAAATTAAAAGCACCGGCTTCTGACCCTTATGGCCACGGTTCAGTAGAGTCGTAAGAGCGGGGAGAGCAGTACGCAAAACGAATGGACGCCCGAATGAGTGAAAGTGCCATTTTTCACAGACCCAAATGCAAGCCAAAGCCTCTTTTTCACCAGTAGATTAATTCCTTTCCGTGTTCGACAAAGTTCATGAGGCATGTGCTATTGCTTTCGCTTGACCCTTGTGGAACTGGGACCAAGCGGTCCCTAAACCAACCTCAGAAACAACTGTGGAAACGAACGTTAGACACTACTCGTTGAAAACAGCAACCGAAGGGGTAGACTCAACCATCGCTCGTATGGCCAGATAAGATTGCTTTTGTTCAGTCACCCAGTGGAATTCTTCTTTTTGACATGTCAATTTCCTCAGATGCTCAGCGATTGTCACAAAATTGGACGAACGTGGGAGATAGTAAAAACACAGACCTAGGAACAGTTTCCCCTGTACGTTGTTGCACGGTTTGGCGCAGTCAAGGAGAACTCTGGTGTTCCAACTATTTGGGTTAATACCACGAGTAAAAATCACCTGTCTAATGAATTCAACTTTAGATACAGCGGATTGACACCTGCTAGTATTCAAGCTCAGATTGAGTTCCTTCAACCTAATCAGTACCTAGTGGAGGTTCTCCTCATGTTTTGTAGTGTTGCTGCTAAACGCACAAATATCATCCATATAAACTGTACATCCTTTGAGGTCGGGTAAAGATAACGTGACGAATTTGCGCTAAGCGGCTGGTGCGCTGCTAAGCCCCATCGGTAATACTGTGTACTGATACAACCCGTCTTGTGTGAGAAATGCTGTCAAATGCCGACAATCGGGAGTAAGTGGCATGTAGTGGTATGCACTATGAATGTCTAGTTTCGAGAATAGCCTAGCGTTGGAGAGCTTGGCCCTCAGCTTATCGGTAGGAGGAAGTGGGGATTTATCCACAGTTGTGCACTTGTTAATCATTCGCAAATCGGCACACACGCGTATAGATCCGTCTTTCTTTTGTGCTGTAAAAAGAGGATGAACCCACTCAAAGCACTTTATCGGTTCTATCAATCCGTCGTTTACCGTTTGTTACAAACACTGACTAAGTCTCACATTGGGTCAAGGGTACAGGCCGAGGTTGCGAAATACTTAATGGTCTGTAATCTGCCTTCAAACGAATAAGATACATCCCCTTTGGAACTTTACCTATATCCAAACGGATAACCTTTGCGTAGCTAGAATGAATTGAACTGGGACTGAGATCGGCAATTGTCCTTCGGTGGACGTTGGGCGACATATTTAATAAAACCACGGTGTTCCGTACCACTGGTGTGATGGGAGTATACACTCGAACAAACGTGCGGTGCCAGCCCAGCAAGGAAGCCGTTAGACTGCCGG